TAGGAAGGACAATTTTAGACTCAGATGTTTCATTTTAGTATATTTCTGCCACATTCAGGTGCTACAACATTCCGGTTTGTGCTCTGTTTAGTGAATTCAGGAGAAAGAAAAGGAGCTCCTTGTAAAATATTGCCATACGTCAACGAGTATTTTCCTAGTGTTCTCTGTGTAGCTCTAACGAGGACCCAGGATCGTCCCAAGAGGACTGTAGAGTTGAATCAATGTGAAGTCGAGACCTTCAAAGGAATGTTCATTAGATATGAAACTCGAATCGCCGTACAACTCCCTGGCCAACTTAGCGTAAAAAGCCTTTTGCGGATTTCCAGTTACGCAGTTGAAAATTTTTTACAGACTACATTCCATCGATTTTCAATGACGGGATATTGTGACTTCTATAAAAGATCCAAAATAAACGAAAAAAGCGAAGTATGTTAATTTTTCCGGATTTTGACGACTCACAGCTGTGGTTGACAACTCATCACGCTCAGATATTAATGGCTAATGGAATGGAACTCCAATAATCCTCTTGGGGAACAAAGAATAGAATGAAACAAATGTTTATACTGTGAGGATGGTTCTTGCGGACAATGTCATGCATCACCTGTCCCAAAAGGAACTGGATTTATCTTAAACTCAGACTGAGTTTTTTTCCGAATAACGACCCAAAACATGATTTATGAAAACTAACCTTAAAGCAGCCGATAATCTGCTTCACTTCTCAGCCAGTTTTCAACAAAAACCAAAGGGAGAAACAGCCGAAAGTTGCACTGGGTGTTGTTCTCTTCGTGTAGCGGCTGTATCCCAAACTCAACAATTCCCGGAGCTTTAGACCGCTGAATCAATAGTCCTCATCTGAAGCGCGTATTTATTATTGATGCTAGCATACTGATAGTTATTTTACACGAGCCATCGTGAAAAGCACAAAAAAACCATGAACGTCAGGAAATATTTGTAACCCTCAAACTGGTCAGCTGATCTAAAAAAAAACTTTGCGGTCCAGCCAAAAGATTTTAAAAATGCTGAGCCGATTGGAAAAGACAAGTAGTGGACTCTTGTTCAAACTGTTGGACAAATTATGCATATCATTTGATTTTGCGAATATGCGTCTTAAACCTTGGAAGGCGCATTGCCCGTGAGCTCTGATAAGTGGCGGGGGGCTCTCACCTACTCACTTCTCTTCGAATTTGAGGAAGCCGGAGCTATTATGTGCGGACTTTAGGAAATACACACAAATCTTTTGGTAAACAATGAAATTTCCTCCAGAATTCTCCAACTTAGGCGGTCTGCCGGAGCGATTTTTGAAATGTACGTCTAGTGGCCCACGCGGTTTCTTAAGTAATGACAAGGTAATGAGACGTAAATACAAATAAGCAAGCTGAAGAAATACACCCATATAATAAGTGTTAAATGGAGACTTATGTGAATCTCACGCGCATCTCTCATTTGCGTCAATCTCCCACTGAATGTGCTCCATAAAACATGCCGCATGTTTCGGCAGGGCTAATATTCCACGTACCATGCTCTGTAGTCTTGAAGTAGCACACTACGTATACAGTGAAGAAAATATACCTCGATGTTTCTGTGCATGTTTTGTCCCTCGTGCAATACGTTCAGTTAGACAATATCACAAAAGAGCGATTCAGCTTGGAATCTGGTGTCATATGTCAACATAATTTGCAAATGTGCACAGATCACTGATCTATTTAATTAATCCGTGGTTGACCAAATGCGGTTGGAAGCACTGGGCGACTGACTCGACCCAGGGTACCAGGACAGTCAAGGGACAGCAAAATTGTCTATCTTCTGTACATGTATCCGTGCTCTAACTCCTGACGGATTATAATCTATTCGACATAACCTCCATCCGGTCGGAATTCTGCCTGATTTTCACCGGTCAAGATGTCGCATGCAGCCCTAAGGCGAAGGAACTGTGACGTCAAAAGCCTTAGTACAACGTGAGACAAAGTAAAACTTCTGTAGTTACTACGTTTACTGCGAGTATCTCATTAAAAATGGGCACGAATATCGAGTCAAAAGAGTTCTTTGAACGACAGAGTCATAAATTACTAGTAAACCAGAGAATGATTAGGTGTGGACAGTCTTTGTAGACGGGATCGAAGGGAGATGTCCCCCGATGTTTCTTTTATGTTACATTAAGAGCTTCCGGCTTCTTGTTCAGCACTGCTCAGCTTTTATATGTCCCACAAAAATGCGTAGCTTATTTTTTCGTAATAAAATGACAACGACAGTTCACCTGGTCACTCCAAAGTTTTTCTATAGCGCTTGGAAAACTCAGTGGTTAACTTGGACCACGAAACCAAAAAACCTGTTTTCCTCAACTCGTGGTCGTACAAAATGAGCACTTGGGGAAATGGTAATAAAAGTCCTCTATCATTTCTTGGTATCCTGGCCGCTTTTCAATTACAAGTCATAAAGGTTGCAAAGAAGAGAGTTTACTACATGTTCGATTTTTTCTCGGATAAAAACAAGCCTTCCTATAGCTAAAGGTGGTCCCCGGTTTTGAAGCATTTGTAGTCATATGACTTTCATTTAATCAATCTTGCCCTGCTGTCCAAGTCTTGCTGGAAATTCCTGATAGGCAGGTCGGTCGGCCAACACACCCAGAACGCGTAATGGACCGTCTTTCAGGACCCTAGCTAAACCACCACACTAGGCTTTAACCCTCTCTCCTGCTCAAAGACGACGATTCAGGTGTGCCTGTTAGGTGTGGACTTGCTCGCCTGGCATGTCAGATGCAGCTTCGAATCTCAGCAAAGGCAAGGTTACTCACTCCTGATATGTTCCCGCAATAGCGAAGTTCTGATGGTGGAAAACTCAAACAAACTAATCCGGACTGAGAGTCACGTCATCGGAGTATCAGACTCTGTTTTCTGTTCACGTCCTAAGACAGCATGCATCAGTGATTTTCTGCGAGTTACTGATTCACGTGATTTTGTCGAGAAAAATGCTTTAAAATGGTCATGTGGGTTATTATTCCATGTAGGCTGACGTTTGGCTTACGATTCATCACGGTTCACCAGGAAATATTAGCGACTTGGATTAGATTCGAAAGAACAAGATTGACAAGGACAGTGAACTGGTCGATAAACACTGCTTCCCAGACCTTAAGCAACCTATCCAGATATGTCTGATATAGAAGTTATGGTTCGTAAAAATTGGTTTCCCAAGGAAAAATAGTGCTGTTCTGTACATTATAGAAGTATTAAAGTCAGACACCGGGCTTGGAATGCTTTCCGAAGGGAAGAACTGATGTAGCAAACTTCTCCGTACCGGAGATTCAGCTGGTCAGACATACATGGTCCGCTTTAAGCAAATCACCAACTTTATGGAAGCATCCGACTTGTCAATCTACCTAGCACGGTCCCTATGAAAGAAGGACTGCAGATCCAGCGCTTAGAAGAGGCCTAACTGTTGGTCACTATCAGTAAGATGATGCAAAAGCTTTTCACGTAGGCGAAGATACGATCATGTTGCCATTATGAACGAGCAGCAGTTTTAACTGCAGAAAACAGTGAACAAAGTTTTAAGATGCTAGATAGAAGATTGGGCTTCCAAATAGATACGTCTGCATGTGATGTCCGTTTTTCTGTTGGGTTTGCTAGCCAGAAATCACTTACCACTAGTTTTCAAACGGGATGGCTTTGTTAACTTTTCTTACCAACGAATGATATGGTAAACTGTAATCCAGTTTGACTGCATTCAGTTGGAAAACTCAAAACAACAGACCTTACTGGTCTCAAACTTAACTGCTGTATTTAGAGACTTAGTTTCGATGCCATCAGAAGATAGCATGAACCTAATAACTTCTTGTCCTTGACCTTACCTCGCAATTTGTTCCACAATTCGGGCTGCTGATTTTTTGTCAGGTATGCTATATTTGGTTATGTCAGGTGCTTTGAGATAGTCTTCGAAAGAGGGCAGATTATTTCAATTTTCCCGATAGTTTGAGGTTTCGATTCAATAGAAATCGTCCTTCAATCACAATTTACGTTCCATACTTTTTCCTTTATTCCAAAGCAACACAACCCTCTCAGTTTGCTGTCGATCCATTGACCCACAACATCGGGCATCGCGTTCACTGGTCCGACATCAGGCTTGAGACAAAGTTCCCTTCTGCTTGCGAAGTAACTTACCGTCTCACTCGGATACATTTAAAAAATGCAAACCGTCGAGAAAACGTTTACCTCACCAAAAAACTGGAAATGTCGTTTACGGATCTACAACCAGGCTCAACTTATGTGTACAAACTTCAAACAAAGTTTGCTGGATTAGAAGTTGAGACAGAGAGTATTCCCGAAATAGAAGTACACACACCAGAAGGTAAGCAAAATCTCGCGAATCAACAACTTAGGTTATTTTGCTTTTCTAAACTTCATTTCAGTTGGACTTTCGTATAAATCAACAAACACTAGGTATTGTGCACGGAACACACAGTGGTGGTTTGGGCAAATGTCAGCTTTTCCGAATACGGAACGTGGTCTATTGGAACGGATGTTAAGCACTTTGCTGTTTGAGGAAAACTCGTCTTTTTTATGCCATTACCGCCGAATTGTACCAAATAAACGCTCTGTAGGCTCTTCTGACTTACGTTTGATCATCCCGTCAAGTGTTGAAATGATCGAAATCTACTCTATGCCTCGTTTAACCTTTTTATTCTGATGACGGGAATTACACTTTTCAGAGTAGGTCTTTTGTGGCCAAATTATCATCGTTAACCCAATTATTATTGTGTTCTTTATTGTGTTCTTTGTCGAAAATTCAGTTTCAATCACGCCACGTAGAGCGAAATCTTGATAGTTAGTGAGGTTGGGCATGATTTGCTGTTAGAACTTGGTTCATGAAGAATCATTCCTCCGATTGAAGAATTTACCATACATTTTTCGACAAGCGTTTTAAAAAGATTTAAAAGGTAAAGCATGGGTTAGTGAAATAACTGTTCGTCCCTTCATTATTTCTGTTTATGCGTGGACAGCAAGTCTACCAGCCTGTATACTTCTTCCAGCTCGTGTGGCGCCCATACATAAAAAAAACATCAGGAATGAATTTCCTGTTGGATGATTGTCACTTTAGGAGAAGGCTATAGTGATGTGCACCGTGATTTGCCGCGTAGATGCTGGACAAGACGCGCACAGGTGAAATGTGCCGCCTACCATCTCCGCCGTCCCATGAAGAAACAGTTTGAGGCATCCTACTTTCAGCCAGCACCCACACGGATAACCCACATGCCCTGTTTTCTAAAGCCGCCTTTTAGTGTCCCACGCAGCTCCCACTACGCCCAGTCGACATTCTTGTTTATGTGATTCGGCAAGCGTAACCATGCCTGCTTTATTGCGGGCGACGTTGAGGACCACGCCCATGATGATTTGCCTATGTATATCGTATTTCTGTTAACCGATAGCCTAGAATTGACTTTCATTCCCAAAAGCCTTAGTTTACTACTTTTTTGTTTCATAAAAGCTTTTAGTCCAGAAAATCGATTTACAGTTGTTAAAGTCTGAGGATTATGTGACTTTTGTTGACCGTTATAAGTGGATGACGCGTATCCCGTCATTCCAGTTCGATTTAAACTAGGAATACGTTCACGCTGGAACGTTCAGTCCCATCTTACGAAACAGCACAATATCATCTTCGTGTATTATCATTGAAGTGCGTCATGCGTGATTTTCCTGATGCTCTGGTGGACAAAACGACCTCGCCTTTCAAAGCATAGACGCGATCTCAAGCATTTATTTATGACGAAGTATAGTAGTCGGCATTGCTGTATACTGCCTCAGCCGAGGGATATTTAGGAGAACCGAATTTGAGCTACTCCACTAGTGAGGTGACATGCTCAAATATTTCTGGAATTGGACCGTTTTCTAGGGCTCCCTCAAGACCCGGTTTCAGTCCTATTTATTTTGCTCTCCGTCAGTAGCTTTGGTTTTTAGGTTGCTGATTGTTTTTTTGGCGAAAATACATTGAAACCTCAAAAGCCATGTGACTCCTACCAAGTACATCGTGGATCCTAAGGTTCCTGGGTAGATACTATTCACAGCTCTTCACGAAAAACTTTCTGTGAATCAAATGAATGATATTAGATGGTTTTCATAAGGCAAACTACTCACAAGGTTGCTGAAAACTCTTCGACAACTCACGACCTGTTTCGCCCTTCTTGGGGCTCATCAGGTGAGTGCAGTCCCCGAGTTTCCGCCAATCTTATGTTCTACTTTGTGTTCTACTGTGTTTTACTGTGTGCAGCACATTCAGTTGTATAATATCACAAACGAGAGATTTAGTTGAGTCTCTCGTAAAAACCAAATTTATTTGCAAATGAGTGTATTTCTCGGAAGCATTAGATGGTCTTTTGTGGCACAACTCGATGAAAAACTGCTGTTTATGAAAGAATACTTTGCGGACGCGACTACTGTTGTTCAGTCTATCGCGAAGGCCTCTCGGCAGGGGGACAACCGTATTCGTAACACACCTGCTGAATAAATGAATGCACCAAAATCCCTTATCCCGTCCGAATAGCACATTTCCCTCGTATTCTGAAACGAAGATCCCACGGAAAGTTTTCTAGGTTAGGGAGTGAAATTAAACCTAGTTACAAAGTAGTCACTTCTCCCCTTACCTATCCAAATTACTCAAGTTCTATGATCCATCAAATATTTGACCGCATTCGCGGGCAACTACCAAAGTAACTAGTTAGCACGGCCGAGGGCCATTATTTTCTGGGATTGATATTATTTATTAAGCGTTGTTTCAACAAATTTTAAATGAATTTCGGAAAAGTGGAAGAATAACGTTGGTTAACGTCACTGTTAACATCACAATTTACAACACTCAGCGGTTTACACTCCAATCAATCCAATGCTTACAAAGACGGCAGACAATACCTGGTCTATTGACTGGTCGGGCCAATTGGAAGCGCACAAGGGCAATGCAAGAGTACATGTGGTACTCACCAAAGGAGAAAAATTACAGTGGTTCTCAATTTCCGCCAGTCGACTTCGACACTCGTTCCCAATCTGTTCATGGAACGAGGACCCTTATGTGTTTTACGCTATCGAAAACGCAGCCGGAACGTCGCCTTATATATTCGTAAGAGACGAAGCTGATTTTGGTAAGAAAGTTATCTGTTCTTTATCGTCTTAGTACTATTCGCCAACATCTTTTGCTGCCCTTGGGAGTGTACCGGAGGTCCTTCGTATGAAGGAAGCATATGAATTAACTGTCGGCCACTGCGAAACGAAATGAAGGTGTGCATTTGAAATGCAGAGAATAAGGGAGCATGTTGAGAGGATATTTGTTCCCAGAGAAAGCTGAAGCAAACGTTTGTGTCTGCTTGTTTAGTTCCACCGCAGGTTGTCCACCAATTATGATTACTGTACTTCAAGCAATCGACGGCCAGCTAATCATTTACTCTAACTAATACTGGTGTATGATACTTCTTCCAACGCTATTTGATTTTACGCACACTTTCGTAATCTCCATTGAAAGTGATTTGTTGAGGTGGCGAAGAGTCGTCGGAGCGAAGAATCATCTCCGACTTATCGCTCAATAATTCCAAGGATACTTCCATACGTATGCCAACCCCAACACCGAAGGACCGAATTAAAACGAAACAACACTGTTTGACCCCTAGGGTACGGTGCAACCCATCTAGCAACTTTCACTGGCGATTCGCGTGCTTGCTTACGTGGAGGATGCTATGACAACAGAACAACCAGGACGCTTACAAAGCCAGTGTCATAATTTTCTGAATGTTCATCATTCACCATAAATTAATAGTCTGTCATGCAAGTGTGAACGTCTGACTGGATTCGGAAGGCACTTACTCGCTGTTGGCACTGACTTATGTTTATGGAGCTTTTGGGCGTTTTGAAAATCTGATCCCACCTTCACTACAACCACCTAGTGTTTGATAATTATCAACTATGAAAAGTCTACAGTCATTCTTTCCACAGCAGATCGACTTTTCTTGCTCGGCGGGTATCTTTTATTCCATGTCGCTTTCTAAACTCCCACACATTTGCTATTAGGGCTTATCAGCTGACCAGACTAACCAGGCCTGAGACTCCACACACGTGAGAAGACGGATGCGTTATCGAGATTTCCCTACCTAGTACGCTTTGAAACCTCATCACTACAATTGGCTGCAGTGTAATGACGGAAAAATGATCCACGATTTTCCAAGGCTAGGAAAACTTCAATGCTCGTGAGATTCCCTCCCCAATTTACTGGGATACTTATGTGATTTCCGACTAAAACAGATGAGCGGCTGCTTCACACTGTTTGCCAACATAAGTGCAGTGTTTAATTGTCGAGCTACGGATCAGTTCCCCAATTGACCAGGCCGCGATTTATGCGGCTTGAAGTCTATCACCGTCATGTACAAAGGGCACCAAGTAGATTCAGATGAGATTTGGCGGAGTGGCATGCTCAACGTAACTGAGAGTCAGTCTTTTCTAAATTTTATCGTTTTAACGCACACACGATTGCTAGTAGGACAAATTAACTGGTAAAGGTCAGCAATAAAACTGTTTGGTTTGCATCCCTCACAGAGAGATCATAGGTCTTGTGATGGACAATATTCTGACAAACCGGAGCGCCCGGTTTTACGTTGGATGAGCATAGATGAGGAAGTTGTGGTCTCTTCTAAGCAAGCTTTCGATCCAAGTTGGCACTGAAAACGGGTTCATGGCTTGAAATCAAAGGCGGTCTGTCTGATGTTCAAAAACTCAATAGAAGCCTCATACGACCAGTCAAAGGTGGTTTCTTCCCGCGAGCAATCGTTCCTCGTGAATGCGAGAACGATGTTTGATGCCCCTGTGTCGGATGGTAGATGATATCGTTAGGAACAATAAACGAATTCAATAAATCATAAAGTTTCTCTAGTGTGATTCAAATCAGTTTATCATAGTTGCCCATTTTGAAATGTATATGAGGAGCACATGGGATTTCAAATTCCATTCGCAGTCTTCCAGTGACAAGAGAAATGGTGTGTAATCTACCCTGGGTGGTGTGATAAGTTATTAGAATCACTCCCAATTGATCGAAATTCCGGATTTCTGGTTAATAAACTAAACAATATGCTCTAAAAGATATGATCTCGCAATAACTCGCCATTCTCACTGCGGCCAACAGTATAAAGTATACGATTTTCAGAAGACGCAATCTTAATGTTAACGTTTCAAATATTATTAATCAGGCAAGGGAGAGGACTGTACTATTTCTGAACAAAACTTACAAAGGTGTGAGGAAGAGTAATACTTATCAAAAGGATTCTCAACACCTTTATGGATAATCTCAAACAAATAGAATGTGCCACTGTTCACATCCCCACCAAATTCATCTTGCAGCTGCGTTGACTGAGCTGAAGCCAGACTTGAATTTCCACGTGAAAGTTATCATGTTGCAGTGCACCTCTTGTAAACAAGTCCGCTGAAAAAATAAAAGCCACTGTGTACCAGAAGTTGACTGACAGCGGCAGAGTTCTGAACCTTCCGTCAGCTTGTTCCGAGTCAATGTTTGCCAGTACCGTCTCGTCAATTTCAGCTCAGTAAGAGCTGTGTACAAAAGCGGATCTAACAGCGGCCCAGAAAAGAGACTTTCAGGTCAAACCCATAGCAATACTTAATGTGGAACTGCTCGGGAATGGTGTTACTCACAGGGGGCAGTGCACCGGAATTATTCGGAAGGTTCCAAATACGGCTAATGTGATGACGGCTTGGTAGAAGCAAACTGCTCTATTTTGCACTCTGAGTTAGTGCTATGAAATCACAGATTTGGTGACTAGGTCTGCGAAACCAACTCTGAAGGTCGTACCAAATTCTAATTAAGAAAGAATGCTGGAAGACTCCATAGAACAACTGAGCACAAGAATGAACCACCGCAAAACATCAATAACCACCAAACGTTAGTTGGACAGCAGTAAAGGTACCTCTGTGTGTAACATAAACGGATCTATAGATCGCGAATTTACTGACCAGAAGGTCCGTCGTTCGAATCCGACCTCTGCATCTCGACTTCCCCTGTGCATGCTTGAGCAACCTGGCAGTACATCAGTCATCGTGTTTCACTCTGGCGGCATAGTAGATAAGCGCGGGAAGGGTATTACAGCTGAATGTTTTACTTTTATTTAATTGAGAAAAAAAGTTGTGAGGCAAGGACTTCCACTTGCACAATATCGTTTGATGTTTATTTGCAGGTTTCTTCCATCAGAGGAACTTCGTGTCCGACTAAGGTGCAGCTCTTCTGGAGTAATCTTAAGTTTACATCCTGGGTATGAATACCGTGATTCAATAAAAATTAGCCCTGTCGATACACAACAGCTCAGCCCGTAATATATAAGCCATCGGAATTTCAGCCGGCGATTGCAATATTGAGAAATGTCACAGAATCCTGTTTTGAATTTAGCCTCATTTTTTACCAATCAACTTCTCATCCAGTTGGTCTTCCCATTGGATCATAGGGCGAAAATGATCAAAGCCGAAGGGAATAATTATGAAATTGAAACAGCGTCAATAGATACGGCACTTTCCTCCCCTTAAGATCACATCTAGTTGAGGACCAATGCAACTGGCTTCAGGGACTCGGCTGACGGTCCATATTTACAGTTTTTGAAGGAGTTTGCTGTGTTGCATTTTTTCTCGGGAGGCTTTGATATTGATTGGTAACTTATTTTATGACGGAAGCTCTACTCTTATTATTGACGCTGATATTTAACCAGTTTTCTACTGTGTTGGCAGTAACTCCGCCATGATTTTTGAATTGCTTTATTATCTATATGGCGACAATAACTGAACTACCAACATGACTGTCGTGCATTTTAGTCAAAAATAAACCCGCAACTCCGGCAACTATCACCCTTAAGAATCTTCCCGATCACTTGGGTCATTCTCTTTCCTGGACTGGCCCATCCAATGACCCCGCTTGTCCGGGACGGTACATCTACAAAGTCGAGAGAACTGACTGGGCTACACCAGCGGTCAAAAAAGTTTACAGAACCAGTTGGGGCAGATCAACTTTTCTCGATGTTGAACCGGGGAAAACATACGGTTACCGCGTCTCCGCTATTGACGACGACCTCCAGACTGGAGAATTTTCTTCCTGGATGAATGTCACGACACCTCAATGTAAGTGGATGACAAGCAAATCACTACATTCTCTGAGCTTCGCTTTTAGTGTCTCATTAGAGGATTTGCTCTGTTACGAACAATAAAATAGTGAGCTTGAACCAGGTTGATCCACGTCACTGATGAAATAGCTGGTCACAGATAGAGAAGATAAAACAGTTGGTTGAAGAAAATAACTGTGATGATCGACCATGTGGTGAATATTATCCACATTTCTGACGAGTTCTCTAACTTCAATATTACGCCGATGTATTCATCTGACGATTAAATTTCTTGTTAGTGCTCGTATAATCCTTGAACTAAACGAATGTGCACAAAGCCACAACTCAAAAGTTTACTGCCTGTTGGAGAATTACGATCATTGAAAGATTAAACCTTGGTTCATCTGAACCAAGGTTATCGTTCCCGACAGGATCCGCTGTTATGCAAAGAGAGGTTGTCATAGTACACAACTTACTACATAATTCCCAAGGCCAACGGCAATTTTCCTTCCTCCACTGGCTAGTGGATACCTGAAGAAGTCCACTTGGCCATTGAAATTAGTTCGCTTGTGCAATAAGTATTCTTCACGTATCCAGGGTCAACAAAGCACCTTTCTGAGACGATGGGTGAAGAAACCATGCTACAGTAAATAGATGCAAAATGATGTGTGCTTTTTTCATTTCAGTTATCATGGGTTGTAACTTGTCACAAACATTTCCTAACGTTATTGATGTAGTCGGTAGAAGTCGACCAAGACAAGTTGCATGATTGCAAAACTGCTTACGGTCGACAACATCATCACACATTATCGTCATCATCATCTTCAACATGTGGAGAACTATTTTTCTCTTGTTCGAGATGGTGACCATCGATGTCTTCGGAGCATTGCCTGAATCTAGTGAGAACACCGGATCAGCAATTCTGAAGTACGTCGAATGGTATTCGGGAGAAATAACTCACTCTCGATAGATGAACTGATCACACTGCACAGGTTGCGCTGGCTTGGCCACGTGCTGCGTATGCCAGTCGACCGAATACCTCGAAAGGCTCTTTTCGCCCAACCACGTGAAGGGTGGAAGAGAGTCGGAGGCGGTCAAACAATGACTTGGCAGCGAAGTGTGAAAGGCATCACCAGCAAACTCAGCTGCGCTGGTCACTGCCGTCTTCCTGGATGGGGACCCCGAGACGGGCCACACCAATGGCTAGAGACATTGTCAGACATGGCCCAGTCGCACCCTCAATGGCGCTCGCGCATCCAAGCTATTACCTTCAATGCATAGCTCCTTTTTCAACTGCCTCCTTCCACTTGACAGCGCACCGACCTTGCTGGATTTATGCACGAATTTATCATCTCCCGCCTGCAATGCGCAGCTACCTACCCACCTCTCCCCGAATCATCGGTGAACGAAACTGCGGCAGCTGGAACCATTGTACGACGAGTACCCGGTTATTACAGCTGATAATGATGATGATGATGATGATGATGATGAGGAGGAGGAGGAGGAGGAGGATGACAATAGAATCCAAGCTATACCTTCAATGCATAGCTCCTTTTTCAACTGCCTCCTTCCACTTGACAGCGCACCGACCTTGCTGGATTTATGCACGAATTTATCATCTCCCGCCTGCAATGCGCAGCTACCTACCCACCTCTCCCCGAATCATCGGTGAACGAAACTGCGGCAGCTGGAACCATTGTACGACGAGTACCCGGTTATTACAGCTGATAATGATGATGATGATGATGATGATGATGAGGAGGAGGAGGAGGAGGATGACAATAGAAGCACCCCTTACTTCACAAATGCAGCTACCAGAAAGTTTTCCTAAATAGATAATGTCATATCAAGAACTGCAGATTTCCACATCATCTCAGTTCAGTTATGTTCGTATTAACCATTATTGAGACCTTACTTAGACTTTTCGCCAAATAACAGTTCATTGTATTTTATTCCCTCCCCCATGTACACAAGGTGCTTGTTGAAACCGGAGGCAGAAGCTAAAGTTCAAATGAGTGCTGCTGCACTCAGCACAACACGCAGTGAATATCCGTTAGCAAAGAAGCGATCGTTGCTAGGATTTAAGCGATACGATGTGCTGGTGGGTTAACCGAAAACCCATCAGAACTGGTCATGGATCTGATGAGAGGTGCCTCAGACTAGCATGGCCCAACGATCGCAATACACGTAGAGTGACAGTGGGCAATAGTGTCTGTACGCCGAGTGCCGTTTTAGCAACGTGTCATTTCCATCCATCTCTATGCCATGCTCTTTCACTTCAAGACTAACGGCACAGTACACGCCATTCGCTCTGATCTGGCGGGTTAGTCTGATCAAGCGCAAGGAACGGCTACAGCGTGTGGCTTGTCTGTCCTAATTTGGTCTCCTCCCTTTCGTGCGCCTTCAACACAACCCACTGCGACCAGGGGTGTGGGCTACCGGACCAGGGCTACCAGGGCTTGTGTGACAGCAACAAACGCAGTTGCTGACGCACCCAAAAGTGCAAGTCCTTGCGAAAGGACCGATCGGCGGTGGCTGAAGAAGGCCAAACGTCATGCCCTCTTTCGGTTATGTTCTACGGTTGATTTCGCCTCAGAAGGCACGCACGGAAGCTAAAGACGAATTGCTGACATTTTCTACCGTTCGACAAATTACTCTTCTACGAGTCAGTGAACGAAAAAAGTTGATCAAATTTTGGTCGCTAAATTTAGAACTTGACCATTTTCACCAACTGCTGTTAACCATCCTACAAAGTTGGGACACCGCGGTCGGGGTTTTCCGGGGAGCATAAGCCGATGCGTCTAAGCTGGCAAATACTCCCACTTGCACACGAATTTTGTTTTGACAGGCGACTCACTGAACCCAATTGGATCTGTCATTTATAATGTTCTAATCAGTAGTGTGTTACTTCCAATATGTTCAACTTTATTGCTGAACGATGCTGACTGTTTACCGCTGGGACTGCAATCGATAAAGTTGTTCGGCTCATGTTGGTTGCGAGCAGTTGCCAGACAAAACGATGCCGATTTTACGCAAAAGCGTTAGGGAAAATTTCGAGATGATGGACACCTACAGACACTGGCTGGTGCCACATGATCCAGATCATGGTAGACGAGTGCATTGCTTCGAGGCACTTTGTACACAGTATTGGCCTATGAGCTATAGATGAAGTGGCTTACGGACAGTCAAAAGTGTTGGATTCTAGCTGCATGCAAGCATTTGGAATGACAAGCCTGGAACTACCCAGTGACCGATTCGCGGCAGATCCTTGGCCACAGGCGATCAACTGCAAGAAATTTCAGATGGATATCACAGTGTTCTAGCGATTTTTTGCCACTGTTGCAAGAATTTTTTTGAAATTAGTAAAGGGTAGACAAAGTTGTTAAAGTAGGCTTACTGTTGTGCCTAAAATGGCTACACATCTCTAGTCGTTCTGGCTCGTCTTTGAGCGGACATCTGTGTACCTTTGATTGCACGCAAAACCAGACCGGTCGGTTACTTCGCACTTCAACGAAACATGTCCAGTTGAGTTTTCCGGTATGTTTGACGGAAAAATTGAATTGACATGTCATGTAACAACGCAACAGCCTTCCGAGTCTCTGAAAAGGTTTTCAAAACTAGTAAGCACCCCAGACGTTTTGGGATGGACGGTTAGAGGAAAAATTTACCTAGCCGGTTTTCCAAACGTAAAATTCACACTGAGACCTCACTGAATGTGTACAACAAAAAGCTGGACACAGAATGCCCCACACTGTGCCACCATGAGTGGCAGAAGAGGTGCTGGGTCAGTGCACATGCACTTCAGCATTGCACAAAAAGGGTGCTTTCTGAATTTTTGTCAGTATCAAAAGTCCACTTTTATTCAACAAACTCTGTAGTTAGTGGAAGTTATTCAACAAGTCCTTATTTATTATTGGAAAGAAGGTATTTTACACTGAGTTATCACACTTACTTGTAGAAGATTCCTATTCATACCACAGCAAATAACCGCTATCCATTAAACTTTTTTGGCTTTATTTCAACTTTATTCCTACTGGCGGGTTCACTAGGCAGTTAGATGCAATCCGCATGTTGCTTGAGATGGTGATGATTCATAAAGAATCGAGAAGTTCTAGTCCCTCCACTTCTCTTGAGGGCAAAATGCTTATTATTGTTTGGCCCTTAGATTAAATCCTGCCTTGTCTCTCCGTACGACTTACCCTCCAAAATCTGTTCCCTTTTCAATTGCGGGCGCCGTTTCAAAAGTTGGTGAGCTACTAATTAATGGTGAACAAAAAGGCATACCAGGAAGTCAGGACTGAGTGTCGGCTGTCAAGACACTTGGCTACACAAAAATGCCCTCAGTGACGCATAACAGAATACTCAACAAATAAACAAATGTTCCTTTTGTGTGCACTAACAACGCTTGGTGGAACGCTTGGTGAAAACATCATGAGGCCTGCAGTGTCACTGTCAGCAGGAACTTGCTTTCTGATGAGGTAGAATTTGATGGTTGGAAAAATGTGTACCCCCTAAAAAGCTTCCAAAATCTGACCAGGTATTGAGTAACCTCAAGTGCTCTGCCCCGGGGAAAAATCACACGAGATGTGACAGAAGGTAAAGCGTGCCCATTCTACTTGAGGATGCCTGCACGGCCAGTAACTCAAATCGCCCGAATTTAGGAATAAATAAGTTGCATCACTTGGCACGACAGTCCTCAAGATCTCATCTTCTTCCCAATATAGTAAGGGGATTTTCCTCGTTCTTTGTACTGTGTACCAAGTAGTAATGTACTGATCGGTCAATTAAAGACAATTATGAAATATTTCGGACCAGAAGGTTTGCTCGACTCTACTGGAGGTATCTGTCGTTGGGGATCATTTAAGCTAAATTTGCATTCCATCTTCCATTCAGCATTGTAATATGAATAAATCCAGAGAGGAAAATGTCGGTATCTCAGGTAGCGTAGATGGTGGTCGTTGGCTTGTTCGCTGAGCTGGGCAACTTGATTGCAAACGTTTCATCACCAATCGAGGTGACATCATCGGTGGGTTATTGGGGAGCGTAGTGGTGTGTTGCGGTGGTTGGTGTCACCCCAACTGGTGATAAAACGATTGCAATCAAATTGCACTGCCCAACGAACAAGCCAACGACCATGAATAAATCTCCCATTAAACAAGTATAAGAACTCAAAAATATATTTTAATCTTGAACAATTATTCACGTGAAATTCGATTTCATATAACTTGGTCTATGCCTACCGCGACGATCCATTCAGTTTTTTCAACTTCATGGCTTTTAGGTTTTATAAGACCGGCATCATATAGTTCTCATTTTCCGTATTTGTTCACTTTTCATATTTGTCTCCAAGTACCCACAACACCAAGTGTTCCAGTGGTCACAAAAAATGGGACAGACGTAGTCATTAACTGGGAGGAACACACCAAAGCAGACGAACATCTGCAAAAGATACACTTGGCGTTCGTTCATCCGACTGGGCATTTGGATATCAAGGAGTTCTCCCGGATAATTACCAGTTTTACTCTGCCAATCAGTCCGAGTGATATCGGGATACGACTCTATTTCGCCACAGAAACAAATGCCGGGCAATCGGGATTTGTCCACATACCAGTGGAACAGCACTTTTGTAAGTTTTCTTTGCAATAAAACCTTCGATTTTTTCAAGACAAAGTCGTCGGTGTAGTTAATTCAAGAAATTTTGTACCTCAATAGTATGCTGCTCCAGGAGCTGTTGTGGTTGATCTAAATTTCTCCCCAGTAATCCACAAGAAAAACGTATTGTTTTTGAGTCGTAATTCATGCCTGGGATTGGTTTCATGTTTCGATGCCTATTTAGCCAACGGAAGGTTAGATGATCTATTCAGGCTATGATTCTTCTGTGTTCCTCCCACGCGTACTAGTTCACAAATGCTCCTTCTCCGGGGCCAGATATGAACAAGCTTTCCTTTCAAAGGTGTGATATTTTGGTTCACTATCAAAACTCCTGCTTAAGCAACCCAGTAGCAAGTCCAGATAATTTGCTTCAAGATTCCCACATAGCATCTTTCCGCCAAATTTTTTACTTTATAGAGTCTACTTTTTTAATATGGATTACTTCACTAATTTCTACGAGGATTATTCCATGAGGAGAAACCTCACACTTTATCTTTTGCATATACGGTGATCCCAGTATAAGTGTTAACCAGGAGGGATTGAAAAGAAGTGTTTGTTGTGCACATCGATGAGGCACCTGAAAGCCGGGTATGTTTTGGAATTGTTCGTTTCTCCAACATTTTGTTGAGAACGAATCCACAGCCTACTGTTAAAGATAATCGAGATAAAAATACGCACATAAGGGTAAATGTTGAACGTAGTCGTGTTATTCAAAACATTCACATTTGAAGGAAACTTCGTTGATCTTTTGCACCAAAAGGAACGAAATGCCTACAGCTGAAGCCGGACTATCAATAGTGCAGTTGATTAGGTCGTTTGCGTCAGACGTGCAAAGAAGAGTTCCTTTCTGGTAACAAAAATTTAAGTATTCCCAAAATGTTATAAATGAAAACTGGCGTTTTCAGGTAACAACCGCACCTACGTGCAGGCAGGTGACAAAACTGTCGTGGGAGTGACGTTTGATGTAACCAGTTACGAAGGCTGTATTGAACCCGAAACGCATGGTTCTATGATTTAATGTAGACTGATTGTCTTTTCTATCACCAGTAAGGACACAACGACGGAATAGTAACACTAGCCATATATCCTCGGCTCTCTAATAAAGTGATTGGAGGGGGCTCAATGTGTAGGACAAACACCCATTCGCACATTAGGATGACGCTAATAGGGGAACACACTGACTCGTGTTCATGATATTCTTTGAAAATGCTGAAAAAAGACCTCATGTTTTACTTGAAACGATATTCAAGATATCAAACCATTTTCCTTGAAATGATACTTTATACAAGTTTGCTGAAAACAGCCTTCCAGCGGTTTTGCCTTATTCTGGGAGGCTGCTTCCCTACCAACCGTTTTTGTACTTGAACAGAAAACAGATGGCCATTAATTTTGAAACTAAAATGACGTCACCGGCTGGTTAGCTGTCCAAAAATAGTATCATAGGAAGGGCATTCTTCGATATTTCGAATGGTCTCGTCTGAAATATGAGGTAACATTTGCTCAACACATATAAAAAAATATTATAAGCAAGTTAATCAGCTGAGATTCAGCTGGATCTCCCGCCAACACGCCTGAAATTTTGTAATTTGCACGTATATCTCACCTGGTTTTCAAAGCCCGATAAGCTTGATGAGTATGCCGATACTGGCTTGCTAGTGGACTCTTTGGAAGTATACCTCATGCTTGTAAGTAGTGGTATACCAAGGAAGAAGCATTCCAAGTTTCAGCCCTTCAAGATGAGACTTGTGTCATTTCCCGTCACAGTAATCTAAAAGTTCGAAGTCTGAGGAATGGGTGAGGCTGGAAAAAGTCAATAACTGTTAGTTTAGGGCAATTATGTGGGAAAGTAATTAAATTACCGTAACATTTCATGCAGGTAACTGAACTTTCACCGAAACTGTAGCCTTAACACTGCTGACTGCTTAAGCAGGCTTTTTGTGAACATAAGAAAGTTAGGCGCACTCTGACATGAATGTTACTTCTTGGAGAGAGCAATTCTATGCCTTTTTTGCGCATTTTTCTTCACCAAAATTTACTGCACTTTTATGAACATTTCGTTAAACATCGAAAACCAGATATTGCAAACTTACTCTTTTATCCCTCTTCTCCAGCTGTTTACTGTATTTACCGTATTAAGGCGATATTTAGACAGCATTCTCTGGGGCATGGTTTTCAAAACTAACTTGTGGCATACAACTCACCTTATAACCCTAACAGTTCCAGCACCACCACAAGGGCTTTCCGTGGAACTTGATGAACACGTATTGTCCCATCATATTACGTGGGATTGTTCTTGGAATTCCGTCTCTGTAGCGGTGGATTACAGAGTGAAACAATGGGCCAAACTGGATGATGACAAAGTGGTCATTGCTCGTTTCGACACCAGGGACAACCACTTCGTCTATCCGAATGTCCTACCTGGAGTGCAGTACATGTATAAAGTAAAGATCATTGTTAATGGAGTAGCCAGCAACTACACAAACCCGGTCGAAGCATTTGTGGTTCACAGTAAGTAAACGTCATTTTTAGCGAATATACACTCATTTGCAAACTAATTTGCTTTTCGATAGACTCACCTGGAACCCAGCTGACTATCGTTTTTGATGTTCTCAGGCAACTGAATGTGCTGCACTAGGCCGCCTAATGTTTCAGTTGCTACGATATTCGAGATACCGCGATACATGTATATCTTTGTAATGTACTACTCATAAGGTTGCTGAAAATCCGTCGACAGACCACGACCGGTTTCGCCCTTTTTGGGGCTCTTCGGGTAGGCGCAGTTCCGGGGTTTCCGTCAACTCTATGTTCTACTTGAAACCAAATTGCACGAAATTAGCGAATATACACTCATTTGCAAACTAATTTGGTTTTTCGAGAGTCTCACCTGGAACCCAGCTGAATTTCTCGTTTGTGATGTTTTCATTATTGGATCATCATTATTGAATCATCTTAATCGATTCGGTGAAAAGTGGCTTGCTTGTTTTTGATAGTTTCACCTAGGATTAGTTATTCATTTTTCTACGTGGATGAGTAACAGTTGCACATTTTGGAAGGTATCCCAAAGGCAGTGAGAATAAAAAACGAAATTCGAAACTTTTTGGATCACAAATTACCCAGTTTTGTTCGGTCCTTACTCTTAGTCATTTATTTGCTAAACACCGGCTGTGTCAGTTCACCTGAACACTAGTGGGAGCTAAGCGCTTCTCTTTGAATTGTAAGTGTAAAGAATACATCTTTATTTTCTGTGAACGATTTTAGCTTTCCACAGAGACTTAGTTAAATTGTTTTTTAGCGTCTGTTACTTAAAACACTATGGGTTGCGAAGTTTCGTACAGCGCTACTTTCTTCCAAGCTTGTCAGTTCTTGAAGTGAGGTTTGGACGCGATAGGTTTTACCACCCTCTCATAGGAATTTCATATAAAAATGACTTTAAAGATAACCGAACTCGATTGTACTACGAAGATTGACATGTATCGGAAACGACAGTTGATATTTTGCGATAACACGCTTAAGAAACAGTTATTAGATATGAAGAGAAGTGCGTCTCAGAAGACAATAGTTCTATGCACCAAAAAAGGAAAACTGGCTGGTCAAATGGTAAACTGAATAAGTAAGCACAATAGGTTCTCTACTGAAGAGAGAGAATCAGTCGAAACCACTCTTTCAAGCAACTAATTTTTTCTAAATTTATTTTGGCGCTTTTAACGGTCCAACTTTCACCCTGAATGTTTCGTGTTATTCCTCCCTCGACTTTCCACTATTTAATTTTTCATCTGTGATTCGGTTCCCGAAAAACTCAGGGTGACTTGTCTACACCGACAGAATGGAAAGATATTTTTAACTATTGAGTAGCATCGAGTGTCACTGAAACTTGATATCTTTTACTTCTCACTTTTGCCTGCAAGTTCACTTCATTTGTATGATTGCGACTTTGAACCGGTCAGTAGCTTACTTCCCCAAATGTTCTTTCCCGGATTCTTCGTTACTTTTGGTAGAATGCCGGACAGACTTATTACATGAATACCACTATTGCTTTATTGAAGTCTGCACATTTTACGTACTTCATGTCTGTCTTTATGTACTTGGAATGAACCGATTATCACCTGCTCCAGTCCACCGCCCCATAAGAACCATTGTTTTCTTGTTGATTCCCTACTAGCCTTCTTTGCTACAACGTTACTCATTGGGTTGAGGAGTGAGTGACAAACATCAGCCAATGTGGTTAGCTATACGTGATTTACGCACATAATTAGTTGACTTCTTTGTAGGTGGATGCGGGATTTGTAAAACTCACTTTCAGGTCCTTCGTCTGAACAGTCGTTCTTCCCTTTCTGGCGCAATTATCCTGGTGAGTCCACAGCAAGGATGAAGCAATGGACCTAATTTCGCTCTTTTCAGGGCTCATCGTTATCCTCGGTCGTACCGTGGTTTGAACTCCGGACATATGTCATGTGAGGCAAGTGTGTGATAAGTATTCTACCAGCAAAAACTGGACGCGCCTGAGTTATCACACCTGAATGGGCGGCGTTTCCATGCTTTAGCTATGTGATCAGCGATGTGATTGTCCGACAGTTACAACGACAAACCGCACAGGTGTCGATAGATTGATCCGCCAATGAGGGTTTCCCAGTCAGGCAGCGCCACAGACTCTCAAAAACTGCTGGACGGCTTTTGACTAGTTGTAGTTAAAAAGCACATAATATTGTATTTCACACCAGTTTTGATGAGAAATTTGGGGTACGTGGAAGGCCTGATCTGTTGGTTACCAAAGTAAGTTATTCATGAATCGCATCTGCCTTATAGTCCGATAGACGCTTCCAGTCATCTGATAGACTCATCAACTTTGCTTTAGAACCACCAGCCCATTCGTAGCAGATGTGAGAGACTGCTGAGTGATGAACTTCAATGAGGGCCCAGTGTTTCCCCTTTTGTACGGACTCACCAACATAATTGCGTCCGGATAGGAAGACACCTCTTCAAACAAGAGTGTTGTAGACTTGGATTATCTAAATCTTATTTGTCTAGTTCGATGACGGAATAAAACGTAGCACAGACTGGCTCACAATTTACAGTGTCCTTGATCGGAACAGTCCTCGTTCAACCCTGTGAGTTGTTACACACCACTTATGTTGTTTTTGACTCGTTGGTGGGCGCATATTTATGGTGCTAAACAACCAACACGGGAACCAAATGTCGCTTTGTTGAAGGAATGTACTGAAGCATTCAGCAGCTTTGCAAATAGACGTTTTGGTACAGGGTATTGATCTTACCAGCACACGATAGTCATTCAACTTGAATCTGGAATTAAATGCTTTCAACTCCGTTCATTCAAGTTAGTTCCCACATGTGACCCTAACTCGTGGGGAGAAAGGATGGAAAATTACGGCGAGATACACTCGTTCATACATTAAAGTGATGGTAAGGAGAGACTCCAGTGATATTCTATAACTGAATGTGCTCCACAAAGATCATTCCATGGTTCATTCTTCATGACATTTGAGATATCGCAGCATGTTTCTTGGTATAATGATATCCACAAGGTTGTTCAAAACTCTTCGGTATCCCACCAACGGTTTTCATCATTCTTGAGGCTCAGCGGATGTAGTACACAAGTTTTCATTTACGAGAAATACGCTCATTTGCAAATCACTTTGGTTTTCACGAGTGACTCAACTGAATCTCTCGTATATGATATTCTGCAACTGAATGTGCTGCACACAGGTCACTGATGATCGACTGATACTAACCTTGATGTTTTGACCTTTTGTCAAACTAACCATGTTAGCCATCATACTGGAACACGTGGTTGTATACAGTCCTTCCGAAAAGGTTGATAGCTGAAAATTGCATTTACTTCATCTATCCCTCCGTTTACTTTCCAGAACCCTCGTTTGACACATTGCCCCATGTCACGTGCCGAGGAAATTTGTTGTCTATCCGGTGGAACAAAGCCAAATTATCAATGGTTCCTACGATCTCTAAAGTTTACATCCTAGTTACGGACAATAAATGGCGAGAATTCAAGACGATTCCGTTCGAACAGGGTATGTTTGAGATGAGAACAAACTGGTGCTATTCGAGAAGGATGAAGATTTTCTTCGGTCTGAGTAATGCTGCTGGACACTCGAGGTACCTGAAATTACGTGTACCTGTGTCTTGATTGTGTTCTCAAATACACCAAATATACACGCTTGGTTACCTCTCAGTGATAGTTCTCATCATTTTTATGTGGGTTTCAGTGTCACTAGGCAGCAGTAAATTTCCAACGTGAGGCAAAGAGGATCTGCGGAAGATGATCACACAGGAGCATGAAAAAACATGAAAATATTTACAGCTGGGGTTCTAAAGAATTCAATCCATTAAAACTTCCACCATTCATAGGTATAAAGACGGTTGGTTAATGGAGCTTGTTTAGTTAATCGGTTTATAACAGCTTCGCACATCAAAGCGAAGAAAAAACCCAGCGAACCTGAATAGAACACAAATTACATTAGTACCACAACGCATACTGCAGTGAATACAACGAAGACACTAATTCAACACGTCAGGTTGATCGTACAATGAAATATGGTATTCGTTCAATAATCCCATCCCGAGCTACGGCACACTCAACAAGGACAGTATCAGCCCAAGCCTGTGAAATTCGCCTTGGAAATGATACCTTTTGAGAAAACAGTCCGTAATTCAGACAAAGATCACGCAAGGCATTCTGGAGGTACAGATTCTGTCCCCAAAAACAAGCAGGAGCGAGATTTGTGGACGGAGCCTCCCAGCTTTCCCGTCGAGTACATGCAGACTTTTCGCACGACATTGGTCGGTGGAAGAGTAACGTGGTTTTCGGCTATACTTTACATTCTCAATACTGTCCCCTCTATATCCAAACAATTTAAGACTGAAAAGAATGATCTTCTCTAAGAGAGAAGTAGTCTATGTGCGTAGAGTCTAGGTTCACACGGCCTACTTTGCTGCAGGCTCAGCTGACGATAACAGCCGAAGATGAACCACCCTAGATTAACGGCCTGAAAAGTTGTGGAGCGATTGGAATGCTTGACTGATATTCATCGGGTGCTTAGACAGGATTAAGTGTCTTAGGATGGCGGTCAGTCGTTTCATTATTAACAGAAGTTGGGTAATGTTGAACAAGTTTGGATACACACAACTGTCTTCTCGGCAAAGCTCGCTTCACAGGAACAGGTAAAACAGTATATACAAAACGAAACACCGGATATTGGCAAGCTATCCTTTAGGCATTAAACACTAGATTGCCTAGGATTGAAGTTAGTCCGGATTTAAGCTTAAGTCGCGGGCTTCCCTAAACAGTGACTAACTGATTTTGAACTGGTGTCTGCTTTGAAAGGGAGATAGAAGTAGAGTTTTCGTTTCTCCATGGTTCTCTTTTCGCCCATAGGTTTGTTGCTGTGAATTCATGAAGTGGGTCTTCCTGAGTGAACAGGCCAGCGAGAAATGATAATTCATCTTAGATACCATCTTCGGTGTAAAGCTTGTGTGCTGTTTCTCCTAGCAACGAAAGGATTCCTTTTTTGTTCGAAGGGAACAGATCTGTGGAAATGGGTGCGCGGACCGCTCCGTGTCGCATTACGGAACAGTGTTGCGCACCATTCCGTCATGTCTGCTAGTAAGCAGATCGTCCAGGAAAAACAGGGTGTGATTAAACTACCTTTCTAGTGTAAATTTCATAGTTGTTTACGACGCTTTGAAACTGTCGAAAATCTCTTCCTCAGCAGCACGCAGAATATAACATCTGTACATCTACCGTTAATGAAAAGCTTGTGAATAGATTACTGCGGCGCACACTGTACTCATAATCACTTCATGCTTCCATTTGGAATTATTATCATTTATTTTGAAGAGCATGGTCACAAAC